GAAGCGAAAGAAGGAAGGAAGGGAAAGAAGGAAGGATGGAAGGAAGGGAGGGAAGGAAGGAAGGACAGAATAAAAGAGCTGGAAGGGGCCTTAGAGGTCATCTAGTCCAACTCCTTGCTCAAACAGGTGACCCTGGACCATTTCAACCCATCAAACAAACAAACCAGAACAGATCTGGAAGGGACTCGAGGTCCTCTAGTCTACCCCCCCCCCCCCCCCCCCCCCCCCCGCTCAAGCAGGAGACCCTACCTAGACCAATTCCGACAGGTGGCTGTCCAATCTCTTCTAGAGGGAGGAAGCCTCCTCCCCCCCCACCGCCTCCCCGCCCACTTCTTCCAGTGGCAGGCTGTTCCACCCCCACTTCAGTCTTCTCCCTTGTGGAGGAAGTCCGGAGTTTGCAAGCAGCAGCATTCGAACCAGGCACCGGGGCGAGCTTCAAGCCCCTTTGGTTGGGGTCAGCTAGCTTGGGCCGGGATGGGGGCAGCCAGGGGTGGTCTTGAGGATACCCCCCCCAAATAAAGTCTCTCTAGAGGAGGCCGGGGTCGTGTGTGTGTGTGTGTGTGTGAGTCCCGCAGAGCCCCCCCCTCCTTCACACACACACACACACACCTGCCTTTCAGCCGAGGGTCTCTCACCTTGCGGGCTCCGCGCCGGGCGAACTCGCGAGCCAAGGCGCGCCCGATGCCTCGTCCTCCGCCGGTGATGAGCACGCAGTCGGCGGCCAGGTCGCGGGGTCGGGCCGGCAAGAGGCGGCCCAGGAGCGCCCTGGCCGTCTGGAGCAAGATCCGGGCCGCCAAGAGCAGCAGCGAAGCCCCCAGGCGCCCCCAACCCATCCTGGAGACCCCCCCCCCCCCGCGCCTTGGCCAAAAGGGCCTCCCCCTCCCTTCCTAAGACCCCCTCCCCTTAGCCAAGAGGGCTCCCCTCCTCCTCTGCCAAGCGGGCCCCCCCTCCCCTCCCCAGACCCCCTCCCCTTAGCTAAGCGGGCTCCCCTCCTCCTCCTCCTCTCCCAAGCCGGCAAAGACCCCCAAAGGGGCGCCCGGATGGGTTTCGCAGGGTGGCGGGGGGCAGGGGGGGGCAGAGACCAAGCCAAACCCGGGGGGCGGGATTGGGGGGAGGGGGGTGTCTCTTTTTTCTGCCTCCTCCAGAAAAGCCGCGATTATCGTGTGTCCCGCCCCACCCCCAGCGGAGGTCTTGGGGGGCGTCGGGTTGCCGCTTGCGGATCGGGCTTGACTCCGGATTCCGCTCCGGCGGGGCAGGTTTTTATAAAGCAGCGGCGGAGTGACAGCGGCCGGGGAGGGGAGGGGAAGCCCCTCCCCTTTGCTTGCCCGCCCCTCCCTCCCTCCCTGCCTGCCTGGGACCAGCTGGGTGGGTGGGGAGTGGGCTTGCCCTCCTCCCCCTCCTCCTCCCCCCCCCCCCCCCCCCCCAGCGCCGCCCCCCCCCCCAGTTCTCCCCGCCTCTCGGTTGGCAAAGAAGCCGCGCCGGTTTTTTTGCAAGCTTTTTTTGCAAGCGGGCGCCCGACGCAGGTCCTGCCCTGGGCTCCCCCCTTCCCTCTCCTGAGGCCCCTCGCTGCCACCCCCCCCCCCCCCGCCCCCCAAACCCGGGGTTACCAAGATTTCTCCCCCCCCTTCGACTGGGGTGGGGTCAGATACCGCAGGAGGACTCGGATGGGAGGCGGTTCTGAAAGCCTCTTCGTTGGGGGCTGCGGTGGGTGGCTGGCTTGAGGGGTTCTTTGGGGGGTGGGCTCAGGTGCTCTACTACAGGGGTATCCCCCTCCCCAACTTTTAAGAGAGGTGGGCTTCAACTCCCCAAAATGCCCCACTTGGGAAAGTTGCCACGGTCGAGGAAACTTGGTAGGCTCAAAGGTTATGCAAAGGCGGTGTGTGGGATTTGAACCCAGGACTCTCGGGGTGTGGGGGGGTGAGTGGGGGCTGAGATCCTCCCTGTTGACCTGAGGGTCTGCTTGAGCACGGAGGTGGGGGGGGGGGGGCGGGTTGGACTAGAAGACCTCCGAGGCCCCTTCCAGCTCTATTCTGATTGAAAAGGTCTAGGCCGGGTCTCCTGCTTGAGCAGGGGGTTGGACTAGAAGGCCTCACAGGTCCCGTCCAGCCCTTTTATTCTGGCAGAACCTCCTACACGTGGGGTCTTCATCGTGAGCCCAAACAAGCCGAGTTGGCAGCTGATTAAGCCAGGATCCAGGGAGGGGAAGCCTGTCACTTAGAGCTTCCTTTGAAAGATCCCATTTAAACCGGTTTAATTCCACAAATTCCGAATTTCCTTGTCTAGCAGGAAATGCAACAAGAAAACCCTTTGCAACCCCTCCAGTTTATCTCCGACGACAATGGAGGGAAGGATGTGAGCTACTCTTATCTCTGTTTGTTGAGTGCTTTCAGGCGGCTATTTTTGCGTCTCCGCCTCCTTTTTAACCAGCCTTGGAAAGCTAATATATATATATATATATATATACACATACATACATAAATACACATTTATACTTTGTAAATCTTCATATTCATTTCTATCTTGGAAATTTTATTGTAACATAAGCTCTTTCTTTCATTTCTATTTTGCAATTTTTAACTTCCTTTCGTATCGCTCCAATTATATTCTTTTTCCATATTTCTGAATTCTGAAGTGTCTTATTCCTTCAGTTCTAACGTTAAGCTTATCTATCATTGTAGAATTTTTTTTGTATTATTATTTCATCATTAAGTATTTCTTTTAGTTTCCATGTTTGGGCAATCGATAATCTCGCGGCTGTGATAATAGAGATAATTAGATACAGATCTGCTTTTTAAAAGATTCTCACGTGTTATTCCTAGTAAGAACATTTCTGGTGTATAATTTAATTTTTAAATTTAACATTTCCTCTATCCATTGCCAATTTTTTTTGCCAAAATTCTTGAAGAAAAAAAAATATATCTTCAGGTTCTGATGGAATATTTATTATCCAATCTTTTCCTGAACCGGAATAATTCTATCATGTGGTTGAGAGACATTAAAAAATGTGGAGATTTAGCAAACCATCTTAGAAAAGGTTTGTTTTATATATTAAGGGGGATAGAGGAAGTTCATTTGGTTCAAAGTTACAACGGCACTGAAAAAAAAGGGGATTTAGGACCGTGTTTTGCACTTACGACCGTTGTACCCTCCTTCAAAGTCATGTGATCAAAATTGGGACGCTTGGCAAATTGACTCGTATTTATGACGGTTGCAGTTTCTTTGGGGTCACCTTTTGTGTCCTTTTGACAGGCCAAGCCACAGGGGGAAGCCAGATTAGTGATGGTGGGACTAACTTAACAACTTAAGTGTAAGGATTCACTTAATGACGGTGGCAAGAAAGTTCCTAAAATGACGCAAAGTTCACTTAACCGCTGTCATCATAAAAGTCGGGCTCAGTTGTCGTAACTTAAGGACTGTCTTGTCGTAGAAACGCTTTTTATTAAAATTAATCGGCTTTCATAATTCCCAAACAGAACAAAACCAGGTACCGAAATATACAAAGGTAGGAAACGTGTGTGATATTATCTTGACTAAATAAAAGAAATCCAGAAAAGTTATGCTTTATTTTTTGGGAGGCGGAAGCTACACTCAAACCAAGCAGCAAAACAAGTGGGCTGGGTTAATTTTTTATTGCTTTTTTAAGGTCAACTTTTTAAAAGATGAGCTATTAACTTTGGCATGGAAAATGGTGGCTTTCCCAAACCTTTTTTAGTCTGCGTGGTTCTAGGTTGCTTTCGTTCACAACTTATCATCCAAGCACAGAGGGGGAGAAAATGAGTTTTTTTTCACATTTTTTGACCCGATACTTTCATATAAGCAAATAAATGCATACATACCTGGTAATTGGGTGACTGTATTTTTAACTTCATATATTTCCTTCCTTTCTTCCTCCCTCCCTTCTCTCTTTCTCCCTCCCTCCTTCCCTTCCTTCCCTTCCTTCCTGACTGTTCCTTTCTTTCCTTTTCTTTTTCTCCCTTTCTTTGTTCTTTCCTTCTTTCCATCCCTCTTCCTTCCTTCTTTCTTTCTTCCTTCCTTCCTTCCCTTCCTTCCTTCCTTTCTTTTTCTTTCTTTCCCTTCCTTCGTTCCTTCTTTCCTTCCTTCCCTCCCTCCCTCTTTCTTTCTTCCTTCCCTTCCTCCTTCA